ATTTCCTCCTGTAACTAATTTAATTTTTCCTTCAAGAATTTGAATGCTATGCCATTTAGTGTATATATGTTTAGTATTGATGGTACTTCATTGTCTATGGTACCTTTTGGCAAAATTTAGTTTCTCTTAATATATCTTTTAATTAAGTCTATTTTGCATTTGCTTTGTCTGAGATAATGATCAATAACCCTGACTTTTTAAATTGCAACTGAAATATAATAGATTCTGCTTCAGCCTCTTATTTTAATTCTGTGTGACTTTCCATTTCAAGTGTATCTCTTATAAACCACATATTGTTGGATTCTGGTTTCTAATTCATTCTGCTGTCCACTTCCATTTTATGGGTGAGTTTATTCCATACACATTCACTGCTATGAATTTCCTTCCATCCTATTCTAGTTTATTTATTTTTCTTTTTTTTTTGCCCAGTCTTCATCTCAAAAGTTTGTTTTGCTTCTGACCATTGCCTCCCTTAATCTATCATCTCTCTTCACCTCTCTCTTTTCTATTAATCCCTTCCCTTCCCACTTCCGTAAAATTAATTTCTATATCCATCTGTGTGTGTATATATACTCTTGCCTCCTCAAATCAGTTCAGATGAGAGAAGTTCAAGTATTGCCCACTCTTCCACCATTTTCCCCTCCATTCTAAAAATTTTTCCTTGTACATCTCTTTTATATGAAATAAATTTCCCCATTCTCCATCTCCCTTCCCCTTTCTCCTAATGCACTTCTTTTTATCACCTTTTCATTCTTCTTATGAGATCATTCCAATGCAATAGATGAAACTCTAAGTAGACGTCCACTTGTCCTAATGATGATAATGTTCTTAGGGGTTACAGGTATCATTTTCCCCCATGGGAATGTAAACAATTTAACCTTATTAAATCTCATATGATTTCTCACTCATGCTTATCTTTTAGTGCTTCTCTTGAGTCTTGTGTTTAAATATCAAATTTTCTATTCATCTCTGGTCTTTTCATCAAGAATGCTTGAAAGTTCTCTATTTCATTGAACATGTATTTTTCCCCTGTAATATTATACTTGGTTTTGCTCAATAGATTATTCTTGGTTGCAATCTTAGCCCCTTTGACTTCTGGAAAATCATATTGCAAGCCCTCCACTCCTTTATGGTGGTAGCATCTAAATCTTGTATGAAATTGACTGTGGCTCCACAATATTTCAGTTGTTTCTTTCTGGCTACTTGCAGTATTTTCTCCTTGACCTGAGAGCTCTATATTTTGGCTGTAATGTTCCTGGGAGTTTTCATTTGAGAATTTCTTCTGGTAGGTGGCATGGATTCTTTCAGTTTCTATTCTGCCCTTGAAGGTATCTGGGCAGTTTTCCTTCACATTTCTTGAAGTGTATCTAGGCTTATTTTTTTGATCATGGCTTTCAGATTGTCCAATAATGCTTAAATTATCTTTCTTGATGTATTTTTTTTTCAGACCAATTGTTTTTCCTATCAGAGATTTCATATTTTATTCTCTTTTTCACTCTTTTTTACTTTGTTTTATTATTTATTGATGTCTTATGGAGTCATTAACTTTCACTTGACCAATTATAATTTTTAAGAAGTTATTTTCATATCTCTTTTAGCATTTGGTCAGTTCTGGCTTTTATTTTTAATTTTCTGTGAGGTAACTGGGGTTAAGTGACTTACTTCGGGCCACACAGCTCCTAAGTGTCAAGTGTTTGAGGGTGGATTTGAACTCAGATCCTTCAGACTCCAGGGCCAGTGCTGTACCCACTGTCAATTCTGATTTTTAAGAAATTCTTTTGTTCAGTATTATTGTGCCTCTTTTGCCAAACTTAATTTTCTCTTTATAATTTTCTTGTATAGCTCTTATTTATTTCCCTAATTTTCCCCTACCATTCTTAATTGATTTTTAAAATCTTTTGATCTTTTACAAACCTCTTTAACTCTTATAGGAATTGTTGTTGTGTTTGTGTCTAATCTGTCTTTTTCTTTGTGGCTTTGCTTGTAGTTGTTTTCAAGTCATTGTCTTCCTCCGAGTTTGTGTTTTGAGCTTCCCTGTTACCATAGCAGCTTTTTATGGTTAGGTTCTTTTTGTGGTGGTGATGGTGGTGGTGGTTGTTTGCTCATTTTCAGCCTACTTCTTGACTTTGAACTTTATGTTGGAGTTGGACTCTGCTCACCTCAGGGAGAGTGGTCTCAGCTTCTATCTATTGTGTCCCCCTATTTTCACAACTCAATCTGTACGCCTATAGGTTTTTGGTGCATCCAAGGTGGTGTGATCCAGGGAGTGATAGGGTTACTGCCTTCCTGGAATGCACTTTGCTCCTTATCCAAGTAGGACCCCTGCTCCCATATGACTATGATGGCTCCTCTCCACCATGGAACTGTGGCCCCAAACTGGATAATCAACAACCAAACTTCCAAATGGTACCTGATCCTCCACTCAGTACTAGTCCTCTGGGATTTCCTTTTAACTGGTTGTTCAGTCCTTTTACTCTCCCTGGGTACTAATGTTACTATTCTCACAGCTGTTTCTTCTGCCTGCCTTTACCACCACCCAGTATCTCTCTTACAGGACCAGACTCTAAGGCAGCCTCCACCTTAGTATCCATAGACCTCTTTTTCTGTATTCCTAAGCTCTCCTGGGCTGGAAAAATGACTTACTATGACTTTTCTTGTCTTTCTCATTCAGAATCCTGTTTGGTGTTTTCCATAAGTGTTTTGTAGGAGAGCTATTAGGGAAGGTTTGGCAATTGTGACCTTTCACTCTGCCATTTCAACTCTCCCTCACTTACATTTCATCTTAATTCTATTGGAATGATCATCGCCATTTAGAAGATGGCTGTGTCTATATACCTATATAACTAGTCTCCCTCAAAGCTACAAACTTCTTGGTAAATGACTGTCAGAAATTTGGCTCAGACTAAAATCTTATACCATAATTAACAAAAAGCTCCAAATAGATTTGTGGCTAAAATATGTATTTGTACATCATAAAAAATTTAAAGAAGAATGTAAAGAGATAACAATTATGGCTAGGGAAATAATTCTTAACTGAAGAAGGAACAGAGGTAGTCACAGAAGACAAAGTGGACAATTTAAAGTAAAATGGAAAAACTTTTCCACAAAATCAATGCAGCTAAAATATATTAGAAGCAGTTATATTGAGAAGAAATTTTTGCAGCAAACTTCTAGGTGAATTATGTGATATTATGTGGGATTATGTGAATTTGTGCAGATTGAAATGAGCAGAGCCAAGAGAACAATTTACATGAAGACCACAGTAATGAAAAGGAAAATAACTTTGAAAGAAGTCAGAACTCTGATTAATGCAATAACTAATCTTGACTCTAGAGGACTGATGATAAAACATACCTCTCCTCTTGGCAAAGATATGATGTCTTATGTGTGTAGATGAGAAATACTCTGTTGGCTATAACTAGCACATTAGTGTATCCTATTTAGCTACACTTCTTTGTTCAAAGGGAGGGTTCAGTTGTGGAGCATGCAAAGGAAGGCATTGAGAAGTAATAGTTATATAAAAATGCACCTATAAAACATTTCTCAAAGAATCAATAAGCATTTATAAAGTTCTTACAATGTGTGAGGCATTCTGATTGGTGCTGGTGATGCCAAGACAAAGTAAAAATAGCACCTGCCCTTAAGGAACTTACATTCTAGCGGGGGGTTGGGGGGGAATGTGTGTGTGTGTGTGTGTTGTGTGTGTGTGTGTGTGTGTGTGTGTGTGTACAATATAAATACAGTAGATAGAAGGTAACCTTAGGAGAGTGAGGCACTATTATTTGGGGGAAGGGGGGTTGGGAGGATGAAAAAAGGTGTCCTGCAGGAGGTGGCACTTGAAATGAGTCTTAAAGAAAGCCATGGAGTCTAAGAATTGCAGGTTAGGGGGAAATGCATTCTAGGATGGGATACTGCCAGTGCAAAGAGATAAGAGGTGTGTGAAGAACAGCACATAGGTTAGTATGTTTAGGCCATAGAATGTGGGGAAGGGAGTCATGTTAAAATATTGGAAAGAGAGTAAGAGAACAAGTTGTGAAGGACATTCTGGAAGAAGAGAAGCAAAAAGCAACACCATTAAATAAACCATGATCTCCATATGAGCAAAACATATTGATCTTAATAGAGACAATATGAGGATTATAGGTCTTCCAGAAGAATGTGACAAGTAAGAAAACTAAACACTTTAATGCAAGAAATAATACAAGAGGGGCAGCTAGGTGGCACAATGGATAGAGCTCCAGCCTTGGAGTCAGTAGGCCCTGAGTTCAAATCTGGCCTCAGACACTTGACACTTACTACTTGTGTGACCCTGGGCAAGTCACTTAACCCCATTGCCTAACCAAAAAAACAAAACAAAACAAAACAAAATTATACAAGAAAACTTCCCAGAACTTTTGAATACAGAAAATGAAGTGCCACTAGAAAAAATCCACAGATTGCCTCCAGAATAAAAATTTCAGGTGAGCTAAAGGGCAACAAAAATAAACACATTACGGGTGTGACATAAAATACAGATATGACCTGTGTGACCGGAAAAGGACGCTTTTTATTTCTCCTTTTGTTTTCTATTTGTGTTTTTTTATTTTTGTCTTTTTTATTTGAACTTTGTGTCCTTAATATTAATTTATTTAACCTCTTCTATTAAAGTCTGTCTGAAGTAACAGTAAAAAAAGTTATATGGAATTAAGCATATTAATGATGTCTATTTTGCTTCCAAGTTATTTGCAAATTCATAGCTTCCACAGCTAGATGTAAAAAGCAGTGACTTCCTCAACCCAGCAGATTCTAGGATACTATTAGGATTCTAGGATTCCTTAGCTATGTGCAATATTGAAGCCAAAAAAAAAAGAAAGTTTTAAACTGCATCAAAGTTTAAAATAATTGCAAGTGATTATGTTATATAGAAAAAAATCTACATTACCTACTTCTGTATAAATGTCTGTTAATCCATAAATATTTTATAACTTCATCGCTAATTTTCTTAATTGTTTCTTTTTAAGCCTAATCAACATGATGAAGATCTCTTGTTTGATAGGATTGCAGAAAACTATGTGTCACTTATCATGAAAGTCCCCAACTTTAGAAAAGATACTTTTTTTAAGGTAAAAGTTATATGAGAATTAATTAGTTTTGCTGATTAGTTCTGAACATTAACAGAGTCGATCATTCTTAAGGGATTCTTTTTAGTATATAAGAGAAAATGTTTGGTTGATCATTAGGGTGTAGATGGCATTCATGGAATAAATGTTGGTAACGTCAAGTCTTCATAAATAAGAATGTCTTTTTTCATAATATTGCATGCTATACTATCTGTCAGAATTAAATATTCTTTGGGGCAGCTAGGTGGTGCAGTGGATAGAGCACTGGCTTTGGAGTCAGGAGGACCTGAGTTCAAGTCTGGCCTCAGACCAAACACTTGATACTCTAGCTGTGTGACCCTGGTCAAATCACTTAACCTCATTGCCTAGCCAAAAGAAGAAGAAGAAGAAGAAGAAGAAGAAGAAGAAGAAGAAGAAGAAGAAGAAGAAGAAGAAGAAGAAGAAGAAGAAGAAGAAGAAGAAGAATTAAATATTCTTTCTGAACTTTGATCACCATTTAAAATTTAGCAGTATTTGAAAAATAATCACCAGGATTATGGAGATCAAATGTAGGTGAATCTATTCACCTATCTACTAATTAGATTAATTTACTAATTAGATATTTATTTTTAACTTTCAAAAAGATCTTTTCAGGCCTACAAAGAATATAAATGCATGTTACATATTTTGGCTGAAGACCAAATACTAACATCTTCAACAATGAAAAATAATGAGTAAATTAATAGATTTGAGTTCTGTTTGAATATTCCTGTTGTCAAGATTAATTACTAGTTTCCACTCTGAATAAGATCACAAATGCCATGGATATGTGCAAATTTGCTAAGATTTCCACAAATATTGTTTACATATCAAGCTACTTGTCAAGTATTGCGTTTTGATCTGTATAAATCAGATGTAAGGCCTTACTTAAACTAATAAATGATTATCTTTCAAAATAGTACAAATGAAACCCTGGTGCCAAGCTTGCCAATTGGGTTTTTAACAGTTCTTCACCTGTAATTATAAATCCAACACAATTAGTGGTTACACACATATTCATACCATTTGTGTATAAAGGTAGCTTGGTGCACCAGATAGAGTAGAGGAATGATCTTAAAGCTCAGAAGACCTGGGTTCTAGTTTCACCTCTGACAAATGTTCATTGTGTGATCCTGATATGTCCTTTAATCTCTCAATGGTCTATGCATCTCACTAAGGCTATAGATTGTAAAGAAGGCTCTGACCTGCACTGTGAAAGGAAGTTTTCTTACCTAGGAGTTACTTTTTCTAATATTAAATGTCCAGTCCCTAACCCAATTTGTAGATGTGTTTATAGTAATATATTTTAATTGAATTTCATGTATATATATATATATACACATATATATATACATATATATATACATATATATATTTATGAATACAGGATTTTATAATAGTGAAAATGAATAGTTATGATAGTTTTAATGTTAGAACATATTGGAAGTTCTTTTATAATTATAGCCATAAATGATTTTGATGTTTAGGGAGATGCATTAACTTTTACATACTATAGTGCTATTGCTATAATATCATTAATTACCAGTTTTTAACAGATCAGTACTTTCATTAAATTAATTTTACCTCTATAATACTCCAAAGCAAAATATTCTTAATGACCACTATATATAAACTTAAAGAAAATTAGAACTAAACCTTAGCCCTCATCTGCTCCAAATACCTCATTGTACATCATGTTGTCCAGAGAAATGAAGTAATTTGTTTAAAGTCACCCAAATAGTGCTAGAGCTGTGATAAGAACCCAGACTATCAGTTTGTTGATCTTTCTAGTAGGTCATACTGATTCCCTATCAGTCAGTCAATAAACATTTATTGATCACCTACTGTATTCATGTGTTAATGATTATATAGGTAACATACAAATATATGAATATATACACATGTACATATATATGCATATACATGCATATATGTGTATGTATTCATTCATTCATTCATTCATTTATTGCAGTGGCTAGTGCCAGGTCTAGACTTACCTTGCTGAGTTCAAATCTGGTCTCAGACACTTACTAGCTGTGTGACTGTGGGCAAGTCTCTTAACTCTGTTGGCCTCAGTTTTCTCATCTGTAAAATGAAATGGAGAAGGCAATGGCAAACCACTCCAGCAACTTTGCCAGGAAAACCCCAAATAGGGTCACAAAGAGTTGGACACAACTGAAATGACTGACAAACAACAATAGAAAAAAGTGAGATTGGAGAAAGATCTCTCCTAGAAGGTGGGATTTTAGCTGAGACTTGAAGGAACTGGGAAACCTAGAAGGTAGAGATGAGTAAGCAGAATTCCTGACATGAGGGACAATCATTGAAGATACCCAGATATGGGAAATGGCATAACTTGTGCAAGGAGGCCAGTGTCATTGGATCACAGAGCATGGTTGGATGAGAAAGTTGGAAGACTAGAAAGGCAGGAGGAAGTGAGATCATGAAGGGCTTAGAAGGGCTTTTTCTATTTGATCCTAAAAGTAATGGGGAACCACTGGAGTTGACTGAATAAAGAAATGACACGTTCAGAACTGTACTTTAGGAAGATCAATTTGACAGCTTAGAAGATAGATTTGGGTGAGGAGAGACTTGAGGTAGGGAGATCAACCAGTAGACTGCTGAAATAGTCCAAGTGTGAGGTGATAATGGCCTGCTCTAGGGTGGTAGCAATATAAAAGAAGAAAAGGAGGTATATACAAGAGATATTATAAGGTAAAATTAATAAGATTTGGCAACAGGTTGGATATGGAGTGTGAGAGAAAGAGGGACAAGTTGAATATAATACCTGGATTATAAGCCTGGTTGCCTGGTTATTCTTGATATTAGTAGGGAAGTTAGAACAAGGGAGTGCTTGGGGAGAAAGATAAGTTCAGTTTTAGACATGCTGAGCTTGAAATATCCACGTGACAACTAGTTTGAGACATTCAGTAGTTAGTTGGAGATAAACTGGAGGTGAGGAAAGAGATTGGGAATACATAAGTAGATCTGATAATCATTAGTATAAAGATGATAATTGAATCCATGAAGCTGATAAGATCCCACAATAAGTAAAATAATATAAAGATAAAAAAGAGCATTGGCGACAGAGTCAAGGGGCACACTAACAATTAGAAGGCATGACTTAAACAAAGATTCAGCAAGGAGAGTGAGGAGCATTCAGGCAAATAGAAGGAGATCCAGGAGAGAATAATGTAATTAGAGATAAGAGAGTATCAAAGAACAAAGGGTGATCAACAGTGTTAAAAGATGCAGAAAAATAAATATGTGTGTGTGTGTGTGTGTGTGTGTATGCACAACACATACACACAGACATAAATTGAGAAAAGGCTATTATATATTTGGCAATTAAGAGATCATTGACGACTTGCAAGAGAGTTCCAATTGAATTATGAGGTCAGAAACCAGATATAGAATGTTAAGAAATGAGTGGATGGAGAGGCAATGGAGGTATTGATTGTGGATTCTCAAGAAATTTCACTACAAAATGGAGGAAAGATATAGGATGCTATCTAGTGGGGATTGATGGATCAAGAGGAGATTTTTTGAGGATGGAGAATACATGGCTATGTTTGTAGGCAGAATGGAAATAACCAACATACAGGGAAAGATTGGAAACAAGTGAGGTGGGGGATAAGGGAAGAGAAAGTAAGGAAAGGGAAGGCAAGGGAAGGGAAAGGAGAGAAAGGGAAGGCAAGGGAAAGGAAGTGAAGGAAGTGAGAGAGTAGGGACAATAGAGAGGCAATCTGCTGAAGCATACAAAATGGAATAGAATTAAAGGTGTATGTAAAAAAATTTGCCTTGGCAAAGAGAAGTGCCACCTTTTCATATGAGATAGGAGTGAAGGATAGTTAGGCACAGAAGGCATCTGAGTGACATGAGATTAAGAGGAGGGTAGAAGAGAGAGCTCTTGATGAATGATCTCAACTTTTTCAGTGAAATATGTTAGTTAACTCTCTGGTAATAAGTGGAAAGAATTGTGGACATTTTTAAATGATATTTTAGACAATTTCCAATCCTTATTTTAGCTATTAATTTTACCCTTCCACCATACCAATCATTCCAAGAACTGCTGAAAAAAAAAAGCAAACTGACATATTTGATTTTCAATTATTTTTTCCATTTTATGCCTTACCCTACCCTCTTTGGAGGAGGTATGAACAAGTTTTGAATTGTTCTCAAACTGGAAGGAGATATGAGGAAGAGTAAAAAAGTACTAATATAATACATTACCTAGATAAATATCCCCCCTATAATTAATGCTTGTTTATATTTTGATAGCTCTATCCTGACTGGTTGTCACAAGCCATTTATATAATATTTCAAGAAGCATGTCCAGACTCCTCTCAGCTATTTAATGATGCATTTAAAGCAGAACTGGTGATCACCATGTATAAGTGGATGACAGGTACTGTGATGTTATTTAAATATTCATATTTTCTAATGTGCCTAAACCATGGACCCCAGCTTATAGTAGATCAAGATTTCTTGGTAGATTTGAAACCTTGCTTTGTTCATCTCTCACCCAGTCACTATGATCTTGCCTCCATTTCTTCCAAGTCCCAGCCCATGAAGTTTGCTGTGGTTCCCAGTAAGAAGGAGAACACTGAGATCATTTCCTCCACCTGTCCTCAAAGACCTTCATTTCAGTACATCACACTACCCATTCCACCATGACCACCGATATTATCACTGCCACATCTATTTTTATCTCAAGACTTTGAGAAAATGTAAAGTTATTCCTCTTCATAACAAAGTTGGGATTTCTTGATTTAAAGAATATTTAGGAGTTTCTTAGTAGAGTTGACTATAGTATTTGCCAAAACCTTTACTATGTTTTACTACCGAAACACAAGCATTCTTGACCATCATATCACTCTGTTGACTCATTTTTATCTAGTTGTCAATGCAAACCTAGCACTTTTCTGATGGAGTCAGATGAAGTAAAAAGAATTAGACTGTCACCTCCATTCTTCTTTAAATACTGAGCATATAACAGTGCTTATCCATTTATAATTTAAATTTTATTTAGAATCGTTATGGGCAGAACTGTAATATGTGTCTGGAAGGACAGGAAAGGAAAACTAGAAATGACATTACATCTTCCACTTCTACTTTTTCTTTTAGGAAAGAGGTGATTGAGGGAGGAAATAAAGAAGATAGTCAACCACTTTTCTCCTAATTTGAAGTCCTATTACAATAGGATATTAACTAAAGTACATGGATATCACTCTCGTATGTTTTAAGGGGACAGGAACTGTGTTACAATATACAAAAGGTCAGCTTTAGAGCTAGGAAGACCTGGATTTAGACCCAATCTCTAACACATGTTGGCCTTATGACAATGGGCAAACCACTTAAACTTTCAGTGCCCCAGACAATTTTATAAGATGTAAATTACAAACAAATTGAGAGTCTGCTACCAGAAGCTAACCAGAAATCAGAGGGCCAGATTTTTTAAAAAAGTAATAAAAAAGAAAACATTTTAAAGCAATAACCTAAGTACAGTTTGCCTTTGAGGTAAGGATGCTTTCTTTTTTATTTTCATGAATTGACTTTCTTTGGGTAGATCACATCCCTTCTTCTAAAACTCTTACCCAAAATTGAAAGAGACCTCAGTATGTGATATGCTGGCACAAACGTGCTGTGTGGACTCCGACATTTACTAACTATATGACCATTGGCAAGTCCTATGACCTCCTCTCTGAACCTGGAAAATGGGGATAATAATGCGTGATTTACCTACTTCACAGGGTTTAGAATAAGGAAAGTGATTTGTAAACTTTAAATATGCAAAGATTGTAACTTGTTGTTATTATTATTATTATTATATTCCATGTCTTCATTGTGTTACACTTCTTTCAGTTCCTGCCCCAACTTGGACTTGCATATTGTGTACCTGACTATTCCGGGTTCAAGGCAGTTTCTAGATCCACCCTCCTAAAACTACAGATCATGAGCCCAATCAGTGCATTCACCTTTGGCTTTGAAAGCCCCTCATAACTTGGTCCCTTCCTACCAGTTTTCTTATACTTTATACCCTCTTATTCCCTCCCCTCCCACGTAATTATGTTATCCAGAGGCATTGACCTTCTTAATGCATCTCAACCAAGCCTCTCTATCTCTCAACTTTTGGCACTTTTACTGGCTACCTCCCATGCCTACAACTTTCTTTCCCATCTCCACTTTCTAGCTTTCCTGGCTTCCTTCAAGTCTCAGCAAACTCCCGCCTTCTACAAGAAAATTTTCTCCATCCTCTCAATCTTGGATCATTACCTCTGAAATTATCTCCAATTTGCCCAGCATATTTCCTATTTGTACATAGGTATTTGCATGTTTTTTCTGCCATTAGAATGTGTGTTTCTTGAGAGCAGACACTATTTTTTGTCTTTCTTTATATCACCAACATCTGGCATGGTACTTAGCATATAGTAGGTGCTCAATAAATGTTTGTTACCTAATACCTAATAGTCATCCAGTTGATATAGTTAGCTCAAAGCAAAGGCATTTATTGATGGCACATCACAAAGAGCAGTAACAAAATATTTCTCCCATGAATCTGGGGTGTACTTTCCCACAAGTACAGAATACCAGTAGGAAGAGTGGGCACTCTCAGATAATATGCTACTAAAGAGGTACACATGTAGGGAACATGTGTGGCCAAGGTGTCTGAGACTTATGCCACCACAAGGCTCCAGTGTCCTTTTTTATCCTTGCAGTAACCTCATGATGATCCCCCATAACACAGTGTCTGTGCTAGAGAGATCACTCAGCCGGACCCCCTCATCCACACCCTCTCCATAACTCAGTTCTTGACTGCCAGGGCTAAGTCCCTCCTAACTTAAGAGGACTCTCACAACTGACTTCAGAGCTGACAAATTTTATTTTAAAGGCCACCAGGGATGTGGCTGATCCCTCAGCCAGCCAAGGACTGTCTCCACCAAATTTGATTGAGGAACTTCCTCATGTCTCCTAAAGGGTCCAATAAGTGCCTCATACCTCCTTTAGACCACCATTATAAGTGCACGTTAAAATTAGACTCATATTCAAAGTTGGCAAGTTCTATTGATTCCTGAAATAATGACCCCTGAAAGGGGCAGCTAGGTGGCACAGTGGATAGAGTGCCAGGTCTAGAGTCAAGAAGACACCTCTTTCTGAATTCAAATCTGGCCTCAGATACTTACTACCTATGTGACCTTGGCCAAGTCACTTAAGCCTGTTTGCCTTGGTTTCCACATCTGTAAAATGAGCTGGAGAAGGAAATGCAAACCATTCCAGTATCTTTGCTAATAAAGCCCCAAATGGGGTCACAAAGAGTTGATCTGAATGACCACAACAATCTGTTCCTCAAGGTAGCAGATCTATCGCCTCCTTCCCATTCCAGTCTTCTATCTGCCTCCAGTTTCTCATCAGTAAAATAAGGATAATAATAGCACCTACTTCCCAGAGTTGTTGTAAAGATAAAGTGAAATAATTTCTAAAAAGCACTTTGCAAACTTTAAGGTCCCATATAAATGCTTACTGTTAGTTCAGAGTCTCAGTAACTTTTTTCTGGAATATTGTAGTATCTTCTAACAGATCTCTCTACCTCCATTCTCTCCCACTCTGTAATTCATCCTTTATACTTCTGCTACATTTCATAATTCATAAGGCTGATCACATCCCTTCTCAGCTCAAAGTCCTTTGTTGACCTCTCATTTTCATAATAAGACAGTTCATACTCCTGACATTAAAAATCCTCTAGAATCTGCCTCTGGTCCATTTTCCAGTTCTAGCTGACCATGCTCCCCTCATACCTATTTTATTTTAACTTCCACCTAAACTACTAACTGTTCCTAAAGTGGGTTTTCCCATTTCCAACCCCCTTGTTTTTGTTCATGCTGCCTGCCCTTTGCTTGAAATGTACTCTTCTAACTCTATGTGACAACTCCCCATCCATGTACTATTTTTATTTTTACAAATTATACTGCTAGGAAGATTCTAGAAAGCATTGCTAAGGATTATAGACTCTTGCATAAGAAATTGAACACTGTAGAGCCATTTTATGTTGTTGTTCAGTTGTTTCGGTTGTGTCTGATTCTCATGACCTCATTTGGGGTTTTCTTGGCAAAGACACCGGAGTGGTTTTCCATTTTTTTTTTCTCCAGCTTATTTTCCAGATGAAGACTCAAGGCAAACAGAGTTAAATGACTTGCCCACCATCATACAGCTATTAAGTGTCTGAGGCCAGATTTGAACTCAGGAAAGTTAATCTACTTGACTTTAGGCCTGCCACTCTATGCACTGCACCATCTAGCTGCCTCCTTAGAGCCATAGGTGATATTTTCATCACTGCTGCTGATTAAAGGCAAAGGAAGTGAAAGGAAGAATTGGAAACTACAGTGTTTACCATAGCTTGAAATAAAAGAATGAGGGGCAGCTAGGTGGCACTGTGAATAGAGCACTGGCCCTGGATTCAGGAGGACCTGAATTCAAATCTGGCCTCAGACACATAACACTTACTAGCTGTGTGACCCTAAGCAAGTCACTTAACCCCATTGCCTAGCCAAAAAAGAAAAAGAAAAGAAAAGAAAAGAAATAAAAGAATGAAATAAAAGAATAAAAGAACCAGGGCTAGTATACACCTTACAAAAGCTGATAAAATAAATTTGCCTGTAGTCTTTTAAGGCTATTTTTTAAAAGGCTTGGGAATTGAAAAAGGAAGAGGGAGTAAGGAAACTGTCATATATTCACCTAGCTACAGTGACTCATCAAGGGTAGCCACAATGAAACAAGACTAACTACTGAGATATTTAAAGCTCTCCATATTCAATAGCTAATAAAGAAGTCAGCAGTGAAGCTGCTGTTCTCCAAGCTATATGCACATGCACAAAATATGGGTGATAAAGTAGGTGAATGAGAAAGGCTAATGTGAAGAGTCATTTTGCCCTCATGGGTGTCACTGAGATTTGATGAAATGAGATCCATGACTGGAATATGGCTCTGTTTCAAAAGAAGCAGGATAGAAGGAAGAATGAGGTGAGATGTTTAGGACATATATCAGAAGTCTAATACAAAGGCATGATCCAGTAGCATAAGAGACTTCAGTTCTTGGGGTATTCCTTGGAACACTCTCGATGACAAAAGCTAATACTTTCTTGGTTTGCTATAAATGTGAATAGTATCTCTCAAAAGATGAAGAAACCAACCAAAGAAATTGTTATTCTGGACCTGATTCTCCTTGCCTCTTGCTTTACTGAGGAAAACAGAGGTCATTTGCCATGAATTCCCTCTTTTCTTCTCTCTCTCTCAAAATCCCTTGGTATCACCCTCTGTTCTCTTCCCGTTTATTCTGAAGATGTGGACTCTTTCCCCTTCAAGGTCAACCCCTCTCTGTGTCCTCCCTGATCCTGTACCTTATCCTCCAGC